CCCCCCCCCTCATTTGGAAGAACGGAATATTTTGACATTTTCCAAACTATGTATATTTGCTTTCTTGTGGATAGTTAAATAGGAAAAAAATGGATACTTCTATCACCTGCAATATTTAAAAAGTAGCCTCTTTGCTTAGCGCTGTGACAAGATAAAGTGGCATTTGTTGGAACAATCACACAACATATAACAAGTTAATGGGTGAGCTTTATGAATCTTGGGAGGCATAGTTTGCACCTCTTGGTGAAGCCAGGTGAGCTGTTTGTAATTCAAAGCTATATGAATATTACACATTAAGGACGAATATTTTCTTGTTAATTCTAGAGGCAGCAAGACTTTATCACCCTTAATTATAAAAGAGGGGGAAAAAAAACCCTCAGCCATGTTGTTGTTGCTCACACAGTTTGCACCGATTATTGTGGTGTGTTTTTCACATCCCACTCACTGCATCCTTCTGCTTAAATAACATCCCTCATTATCTGCCGTGCCCCATCTATGGTGGCTCACATAACAAGATTTAAGCCAGGATTACAGACAAATAACATTTCCTTTCTATGTGTTGCCAGCTCACCCTTAACAATCACCTTTTCTTCTGAGGAAGACTTCTAAGTGATGGAAGTCTGCAAAAAAATACACTGAATCTACAGCACTTTTAAAAAAAAATGGATATCAGTAAATTTCATATTGTGATTGTGCTGTGACCTTTAAGCTTAAGTTCCTTGGATAGCATTTTTAGCTAAAACACAAACACGCGCTCCTCTGTAAATGACGATCACTACATTAACATTAGCCCATGACTGCATATAACTTCAGCTCTAAAGAGAAGGGACAGGCTTTTAGTCAGCTCTTAACATAATTATTTTGGGAGAGAACAAAAGAGACATCGGCTCATTGGAGGGAGTCCATTGTTCGCGGTTTGGGATTTTAAATCTGCCAGCTGAATAATGATGTAGGAGCCTCAGAGCAGCACAGTGCACTCACCTCCTCAATTCCTCAGTAAAAACAAACTCATGGGGCTGTGTGGCGTTGATATCACTGGCATTATTTAACAATCCTCGCTGTAAAGCAAGGCGTGTTACCGTGGGATCAGACATCTTTGCGGAGAAGACATCTGACCTTTGTAAGGTAGCTAATGAAAACAGATCAGACATACAAGCTATTTAAGCACCATGGGAGAGAAATCTGTCGTCGGTGGATTCAACATGAAAGCAGTCTAATGTTACTGATTTCAGCATTTAGCAAACATTTCAACACTGACTAACTGTTGATGTGGGATTTTTGCTGTTGTTTGGGGTGAAAAAAAAGTTCCAAATTGGACGTTCAACTGGTTTGAGGTTCTTCTTGAAGGCTGTCTCTTTGCTAGTCTTTCTAGCAAGAGAAGCTTTGTATTCAAGAATTGCTTTCTAATGTTTACTGATTGGAATAAAATGAAAAAAACATCCTCAGGAGAAAGAATGAGCAAAAAAATATATACTTCACTGATGACTTAAACTCGTGACCTCAGGGTTTTTTGAGTACATTTCCTTTCATGCTGAGCTAATTGACTTCCCACTCAAGCAACAGTATTCCTGGGTTTATGATGCTGTCGTCACAGACAGAAAGACACAGGCTCTAACAGTTTAACTGTTCCCCATGAAACAAACATGAAAGAATTTAGATATACATACATGATACATACAGGACTGACAGATTGCTTAGATACATCTAAATAACACAATGGGCCTCTATGAACCAAACAAGGTTTCTTACTTAATTGTAAATGTAATAGTTTTAAATGGACTTGTACTTATAGAGCTCTTTTCTAC